TTAAATGTCTGTTAAACAATTAATAACACTGAAATATCTGATTCAATCGTAAGATGACGTTTTTTATTGAAATGGTCAAAAGATCATTCTAAGAACGCAAGTTGTAAAAAAACTTAGCAAACACCCTTTCCGGGAATAGTTATTTACGATCAATTAGTATGAGAAAATTCTACTTCAATAATTACTAATTGGAGCAGTCACATACAAATTACACAAACGTCGCGAGAAGCGGTTAGCTTGATTGGCAGCTAATCTGTCAAGTTATACATATAGCGTCCCTTTTTATTTTATATTATTTTGACGAAACTCAAGATCTGAGACCAGCCTGCACTTTCCTATTAGATTTGAGATATTTTAGCCTAAATATACAAAAGAGGTACACGCTTTGGCGCTACATGCGCCGCACAGTGTTCTATTTTGGAAAAGAAGGGACGAAATCAAATATCTCTGGAATGAGAAGGTATAGCAAGATAAAGCTTTTGAGATTAAGAATTTAAAAAAATTAGTCTCGTTGGATAAAAGATTGTCTTGACCCATACAATTATCTTTAAAATAGAAGGTTTTAGTTTTTTCTTTTTTTTGACTAAAATCAGTAGGTACGAACTGAAATTTGTAAAAATTTTAAAAACATACATAAGTATGTATTTGTACTATTCTTGTATCATGGAATCCATTTTCATGGTCGTAAGAAACAAAAAAAAACATTATAATATTAAAAAAAACAGCTTACAATTAATTAAAAATAATTAAGTGCGTTTTTCGGTTTTCGTGACCATTAACTGTTTGCTGGTTTCAGATAAAAAAAAGAAAAACCCGTATAAGTATTTTTTAAGGTCATTTTAAAGATCAAGGCAGTTCTTTAATCCAACGAGACTATTTTTCCTGCTGCCATTGCATTTGTTTTGCTCTCTTCTCTTCTGCTTGATTTTGTGTATTTTTCTATCAGCAAATTCATTTCACTACACACAGTGTTTTTTCGTTAACTTGATGTGACCTGTGAAAATATTGGTATTTTCCCTAAAATGTTTTTATAGGGATGTGCGATTAATAGATTAAATATTTTTTTAATTTATGATAATCCAGATTGATTTAAAAAATTTATTAATCTTTAATTTATTAGTCTAATCAGATCCTGAGTAATTACTGTTTACTAAAAGAAAAATATAATCAAAAATTAAACTATCCACATTTATGTAAAGTGTAACTTTCGGCCAATATCCTTGATTTGGCCTCCAGCCTAAATATATTGCACCACCCTAATGTGTTGAAACATTCACCGTACATGAACATACATATACATACATACACACAAAAACGGACAATTATTCGAGAAGTTAATCATTTTGATTAATTAACTTATCACGTTTCTATTAATCGGTTTGTTCAATTAATTAATTAATCGCAGTACTCTACCTTTTTATTAATTCTAATACCTTTTTTATACCGAGTAGATCGTTCTTTAACGGTTATGTACATACAAAATATACTTGTATGTACATACTTAATTGTCGAAATATATAAACATAATTTATTTTTAAACGATTTTTCGTCGTAATTTCTCAAACACAAACCGATTTCAATGAAATTTCTCCCACTGGGGAAATAGGATATTCTTGGACCCGATATGTGGTCCAGATCATTTTTTGTTTTTCATAGAACTTTTTTTATTTCCTATCTAAAACTAAATCAATACCAACTTCTGGACTCGATAGGCATTGCCGGTATAGTCGAGATATATATTCTTTTAAAAAAAAATGTTTCGATAATTTCTGAATCCGCCGAACTGATTTCAATGAAATTTTGTGAATATATAAATTCACGTGCAACATACTGGTGTCATCTCTCAATGAGTGTTCTTTTATGCTAATCACCGAAGACGCCGATCTCTGACACGAAAATTTGCAAAAAAACGGTATAAAAACTTGCTGCTTACAACGTTATTCACGACTACGTTTTGTACGAGTATGCTTTGATGAATGGAGAAATATGCAGTACATGCAACAACATGTAGAAATACATTTCATCCTGTGCGTATTCAATTGTATTTTCAGGATAAAGCGCGCTCAACAGAAATTTGATCGCCAACGTAAAATGTCTTACAACAGCGAAACGAGATGAAAGGCGATCTACAAAAACCAAAAAATTACAGCAGGACAACGTCTGCCCGGGCCTACTATTTTCTTACAAAACAGCTGTTTATGGTTTCCGAATCTTAATATGTTTTCTGAAAAGCATGACCGTCTACGCGTACCACAGTTCAACTGTGTCCATATCATTATAGAACCCATACAGTTCATCATTTCATCTTTAAAGGCCCACACGAATAAGGTCAAAAACTGCTAAGCAAACACCTTTTGGCCATCTCGAGTTTAGATATTTCATTCTGTATTAAGGATTACCTATTAATTAAAGATTTGTTGGTTTTTGAACAATATGGGACAATTTCTACGACTATGTTTTACTTCGTTCAATTTAAGTAAAAAGAGAGATTTTAGATAAATTGATAAGTTTAAGTACTTTAAACTTTTCTCTACCTATAAAAGTTCCCTTAACTAAAGAGCGTAGTGTCTATCTATACAATTTAGTTGGCGTATGATTATTAAATGATCAACTTACATATGCATTTCATTCAGATAATAGGTACACAAAACAGTTCTCTAATTTCGGCGAACGCTGAATGTTACGAAAGACTCAAGACACAAACTCGTGCAAATGTAGCAGCCTTAAATCGTGTCTCGATTATGTCAAACACGGGCAAACTAAAAAACAGCGTATCAATTTATTTACCCCAAAAACGTTTTTAAATGCGCTTCCTGTCAGATTTTGGTCCACAATAAGAATTATCAGTAACGGCACGGATTAAACCAGCCTTAACCAAAGCCTTATAAATACATAATTTACGGACAAACCTAAACGAAGGCTTTGAGCATTGCGTGCTCTATTGCGTAGCATTAACGTCAATGAACCAGTATAAAAATAACTGCGACAATGGCAATAGGTATGTGTGTATGAAAAACAAAAATAACAGTTTCATTATTTTATTTATGTTGCCAACTTCACTTCTCAAAGCTAACGGTTTGCTCCTCAGTGGTAAGTGTTGCTGACTTTGCACATCGATGATGCGGGTTCGCTCCCCCTGAAGTCTAGAAAAGAAGTGTGATGAAGAGATATGGTGGTGTAGCAGCTATAACTTCTAGCGCTTGACCTTTGCTGCTTTTTCAACTTGTTGAAATAAATATTATTAGGCCACAATAACAATAACAAAAAAATTGGCTTAAGATAACCATTAGGACTTCGGTGGGCGGTCTTAATATTCTATACGCGAATTATTTGAAGGTTTGTAATATATTTTCTAAACTAACCATATTCATGTATGTAAATAAAACATTATTTTTAAATTGAATTTTATTTTATTTTTTCAACGTATTTTCGTGAACTTGTCTTTGATATTGACATGATAAATATTTAAACTTGCGTTTTTATTTATTGTTTATTAAATTAAGTTAAACTAAATCTGCATTACAAGGTAGTAAAGCNGACAAAACACTTCTCTAATTTCGGCGTATGCTGAATGTTACGAAAGACTCAAGACACAAACTCGTGCAAATGTAGCAGCCTTATTGCCTATTGCGTAGCGTTAACGTCAATGAACCAGTATAAAAATAACTGCAATAATGGCAATAGGTATGTGTGTATGAAAAACAAAAATAATAGTTTCATTATTTTATTTATGTTGCCAAGTGGTAAGTGTTGCTGACTTTGCACATCGATGATGCGGGTTCGTTCCCCGCTGAAGTCTAGAAAAGAAGTGTGATGAAGAGATGTGGTGGTGTAGCAGCTATAACTTCTAGCGCTTGACCTTTGCTGCTTTTTCAACTTGTTCAAATAAATATTATTATGCCACAATAACAATAACAAAAAAATTGGCTTAAGCTAACCATTAGGATTTCGGTGGGTGGTCTTCATATTATATACGCGAAATATTTGAAAGTTTGTAATATATTTTCTAAACTAACCATATTCATGTATGTAAATAAAACATTATTTTTAAATTGAATTTTAATTTATTTTTTCAACGTATTTTCGTGAACTTGTCTTTGATATTGACATGATAAATATTTAAACTTGCGTTTTTATTGGTTGTTTATTAAATTAAGTTAAACTAAATCTGCATTACAAGGTAGTAAAGCTGTGTTATTATAAATTAAACTAAACAATGATTTATGTTTGTAGCAATACAATACAATACAATACAATACAATACAATTGTAATCACACATATCAACATAAGGATATATTTGTAGGTATGTAACTACAAATGTAGTAATACATATTTCGTACGATTTTAGCTGGCGGCATTTACATACTTCTGCTTCGGGTTAAAGTTTATATGTTTTTGGCCTCTACGTTGTTAACGGGTCAAATGAGGATATTTAGGTGGTGTGTGTTTGACTAAAGATGCAATACTATACATGTACACGTTTGTGAGTAACATCCTAATGTGAAATTTTTATAGTTGGAGTACGGCAGCCATATAACAATTTAACGATTTCTTTAATGTTAACGCTTTTTCTTTTCTTGGTCAACCGGATTGGGTGAAAAGCTTTTAATTTTTCCAGGTATCTCCAGCTTACTCTGAATGAATGAAAGAAAAGAAAACAAAATAAAAAAATGAATATTTTTTACAATAGTGTGAAGAAAAAAATGAATGTAGCGTTAATATGTACATAGCTAATTTTGTTAAGGGACAGAAACCAATTCTTGCGTTTGAAAAGTTATATTTAAGTAATTGATTGCATGCTTATTTTGTTAGTATTCATATAAGTGTTAGAAAGATGCGTATTTAAGCGAGCTTGTGCATATAGCATACGTATATTCAAATATTTTAATGTACACATAGCTCAGTGTGTTGTAAGTCAATAAAATATTGTATTCGATGTGTAAGTTTTTTCTTCTTTGCCCATTTAATAAATGTATGTGTCGCCTGTCGAGCCTATGAAGCTTAAAATAAATTATCTTCGTTCAAATTAGTAATGCAACTCACATTTGAGCATATTAACAGCATCCATTTACGTCAGAAAATAATGTTTACGGAATTATTACACATTCATACCATTCAAATTTGTCAACTTGATTTCTTGCGCCAATTTCAGCATACTACTTTTTTTTACTATCACGATGTCTCTTAATTGCTATTGGCCAGAATAAAAATTATTGGTTTTTTAAGTAATGTTTGCTGCGTATTAAATTTAGTATTCGAATAGTATTATGTCAAAGTTCATACGTAAATAAATTTATAGTAGGGGTATTCACGATCCGGTGCATACTGTCTATCATGGTGCATAGATAGCATAAATAGCATGATTGTTGTTGTTTCATGTATTCAAACAACAACAAAATTAGCCAATCAGGCTATTTATGCTATCTACGCACCATGCTAGCCAGTATGCGGCGGATCGTGAATACGCCTAGTGTTTTAAAATAGTATCTAAAGCTATACATACATATACGCGAACCAAAAACAGAGGTTATTCTACTTTAACAAATTGATGGACAAGTTTAAAATAATCTATTTACCGTAGACTGGCAGCGGAGTTAAAATTTTTAAGCGCTGTCGTTCATCATTTTATTCTTAAATAAACTGGAAATTTCTACGCCCTCCTCAAACAAAAAATAGGCCCAAAACATCAAAAGCGATGGTAAGCTAAATTTAAAGTAATTTATTTACCACTTGCAAATAGTTTTATTGACCAGAATATAATTTTACTTTTAATTTCAATGAAACATTATTCAATAATCAAGTGTACTGGCAGCAGAAGTCGAATGATCCATGTAAGTCGATGAAATTTCTAAGAGTTGACCATCATTTTATTTTTAAATAGTTCGAGAATTTCTGTGCTCTTATCAAACAAAAAATAGGTCTAAAACCTTAAAAGCTCAGAAGAAAGGTCGTATACAGAAGAATTACATATCTTACCTTTGCTGCAAGAGTGTCATAATCAAAAAAATAAAAATATTTAAGTATGAATGATTCTGCAAAAATGGCATAGCTATATCGATGACCCATTTCTTATTAGAAGAAGCAAACCAACACCAACAAGAAAATGTGTGTTCAGTTTTACCATGGGAACGTATGTAAACTGTATACTTTAAAGCCGTTTTTCTTGAGTTTTTAATTTTTTGTATTAGGACACTATTGCACCAACGGTACATAAGTAAATACATAGACTACGACAGCGACACCTCTCTTAACTGTAAATAGCTGCTACATACACATAAAATATCCTCTTGATTCGGCTTGAACAAAGCAATGGGAAATATTTATTTAACTTGTACATATTACTAAGATAGGCACTTGGAACAAAAATATATGCGCAAATAAGTGTTCGAATCTACGTTGATTAAAACAACCCAAATACCATCATAAAAATATATAATGGAGAATTGGAAAAATTCGAGTATGTCTAAAATAAATTTTATAGTAGTTTTTATGGTCAACATTTCAAATAACTAAAGAAAACTTAGGGCCGGTTACTCAATGTCTGGTTAACACTAATCTGCGGTTAAACATCATTATCGACATCTTCGACTCCATGAATACAAGATGGAGTCGGTAACGTCGATAACTATGTTTAACCGCAGATTAGTGTTAACCTGGCATTGAGTAACCGGCCCTTAATGATTATTTCAGCAATAAAAGAAGCACAATATAATTATACAAGGAACTCAATAGCAATACATTTGTTGACTAGAAGCTGTAGCGAAATACGTATATATTAATATTTGGTAGGAACAGTATATAAATAACTAAATAACTAATAAAATAGAAAATAGAAAAATTATATTTTAGTTTAATTAACCATTTGGTTTCGGTGGCAAGCATTTCAACACAAAAGTGCACGGCGAAGTTGTAAAAAATATACTTTTGCTTTGTATACAAGTATATGATATGCCCGTATGCGTGGTTAACAGTTTAAAGTTATACAAATAATTCAATAAATAATACTTTTATTTAAAATACCAAAGAAGCATGCAAAAATTATACTTTATAAAATACTACAGCTATAAAGAGAATTTATGCTACCGTTTCAAATACTACACATTTCTACATACATCAATTAGGTGATAGACGCGAAAAACTTTAGCTACGCAAGCAGTTATATAACAAAAGTTTAGCATATTTAAGAAAACTTATCACCAATTCATAACCAAGTGAAGCAAGATTAATACAATTATCAATCAAAAATAAGTTATTATTTCAAATAAATACATACGCATGTATGCATAAGGCAAGTTATTATCAACGTAAGTAAATTAAATAAAATATAATAAATAATTTAATCACTTGAGTCACTGAAGAGAATTGTTGGCTCCAATGGGCGAGTTTTCACATATGGCATTCTGGGCCAAGGCCACGTCACCGGCATCGAGGACTCATAGTTATAGTTGTATAGCTGATCCAACAGCCACTTGCGCTTATCCTCTGGTTCCGGGTAAGTGGAGGCTAAGCCTAATGCGATAAATACTTTTTTAGCAAAAGACTATTATTCAAATACGTATTGAGGGTCATACCTTTGTCATAAGCACACTTGGTTACACCCTCGGCAATGCGCATCGACACCTCACGCACAGCATTCAATGGTGGGTAGAGTGAACCGCGATCCAAATCACTTTGTTCAACAAAATTAGCCAATTCCCGTGCGGCGATAAGGAACATATCATCGGATATATGATGAGTGCCAGTCGTAATCACACCCAACGCTATACCTGGAAAGATATACGCATTGTTGCCCTGTCCGGGATAGAAAGTCTTGCCATTCATTTCGACCGGTGGGAATGGTGAACCTGACGAGAAAACGACGCGACCCTGTGAAAAAATAAGATACAAAGTAGTAAGTACTCTGATTGTTTTTACATCCGTCTAAGCCATTTCGTCTTTCCGTCTGCCAGTCTGTCCACTGCTGTTGTTGTAAAAGCATATAAATTCTCCAAATGGTTATTGGGGAATGATGCTGAAGTGGCATTCCATGGCCAGACATGAATCTAGGTCGTTCCGGTTATGTAAAACCGACTGTCGTGCCGTCGAGGGAACGCCACAATACATGAACAACCATTTTGTCAAAAATTTAGAAAAATTTGCCAAATTTTCAGGGTGTATGTATGTGCATTAGAGCGGTTAAAAAAAAAAAGTAAAGTCGGTTTTTTAATGCACTCATCCCCTAAAATTGTTCTATACCGAACAACGTTATACTCCTATTTTTTTATTTTGAATTCAAAAAATATTTAGACGTTGTACAATGCTTTCCATGTATTTTATATGGGGAAAAAACAATTTTTCGTAGAAATGGTATAGAATTCTTTAAAATCAATAATTTTTGATCGGAAAGCTTCACTTCAGGAGATGTTCAATAATGATACCCAATAGTTTATGTAACCATTTTTTGATATTAACTATTTTTATAGGTTCCCTAAAACCCCTAAAAAATGCAATGGGGAGACCGATAAAAAAATCGCTATTACTAAAAAATGGTGAAATAAACAAATCGGTATTATTANTCACTGCTGTTGTTGTAAAAGCATATAAATTCTCCAAATGGTTATTGCGGAATGATGCTGAAGTGGCATTCCATGGCCAGACATGAATCTAGGTCGTTCCGGTTACGTAGAACCGACTGTCGTGCCGTCGTGGGAACGCCACAATACATGAACAGCCATTTGTCAAAAATTTTGAAAAATTTGCCAAATTTTCAGGGTGTATTGTAATGTGCATTAGAGCGGTCAAAAAAAAGTAAAGTCGGTTTTTAATGCTCTCATCCCCTAGAATTGTTCTATACCGAACAACGTTATACTCCTATTTTTTTATTTTGAATTCAAAAAATATTTAGACGTTGCAAATGCTTTTATATGGGGAAAAAAAAATTTTTCGTAGAAATGGTATAGAATTCTTTAAAATCAATAATTTTTGATCGGAAAGCTTCACTTCAGGAGATGTTCAATAATGATACCCAATAGTTTATGTAACCATTTTTTGATATTAACTATTTTTATAGGTTCCCTAAAACCCCTAAAAAATGCAATGGGGAGACCGATAAAAAAATCGCTATTACTAAAAAATGGTGAAATAAACAAATCGGTATTATTACTGGAAGTCTCCTGAAGTGGATCAGAGCTTTCCGATCGAAAAGCATTACTTTCCAAGAATTCTATACCATTTGTATGAAATATTGTTTTTCCCCATACAAAATACATGGACAACATTGAGCGCGTTGAGAGACCTCTAAATATTTTCCGATTTTGAAATAAAAAAAAAACATTGGTATATTTTTTTGATACAAAGCAATCCTAGGGGGTGAGAGTATTCCAATTTCGACTTTAGTTGTTCCACATGCATTTTTGGACCACCCTAATGTGCATATCAAAATGGTACGTATTCAATATTTTTCCCTGCTTTCCCACTTACTTCAGTATTTTTGTAGGCCTGGTCCGCTGTGCATTCAGCCTTATGGGTTGGATTGGAAAGCGCGAACACGACTGGGCGCTCGTTATGTGCAGCCATAAAGCGTAAAATTTCTGGCGTAAAAATGCCAGCAGCTGCTGATGCACCAATAAGCACCTAAAAGTTCCAAAAAACAAAAATTTATCAAAAATTGTCTTCATTAAAAATATATTATTGAACCAACATTTGGTTTCACTTTCTCCACAATTTCTTGTAAATTCTTCATTGGTTCAACATTTTTGGCATAATTTTGCTGATGCGCCGACAGGGAACCCTCATTACGAGTTGTTGTTAGAAGACCGTTAATATCAACCATCCATATCTTATCTCTGGCAGCCTTAAAAAAAAAAAACAATAAGAAATAATAATTTATTCAATTTACCCATTTCTTACATCCGGGGGTACACCTTCTGCAATCAATGCTTTCACCACAAGATCTGCGATGCCAACAGCTGCCTCGCCTGCACCAGCGAATAGGAACGTATAGTCTGATATAGGCTTACCAGTTACGCGAGTAGATGCATATATGCCACCCATAGCAACAGCTGCTGTACCCTGAATGTCATCGTTGAAGGTGCAATAACTGTTACGATATCTATCAAGGAATCTAAATGCATTGTGATTGCCGAAGTCTTCAAATTGAATTAGTGTATTCTGGCCATAGCGCTTGACAATAGCTTGCATGAATTCATCCAAAAAATCATCATACTCTTTGCCAACAACACGCTTCTGTCTCAAGCCTACGTATAATGGATCTTCCAGCAAGTCTATGTTATTTGTTCCAACGTCAATCAAGATTGGCAAGCAACGATGCGGTTTAATGCCAGCTAAAGCGGTGTAAAGAGCCAGCTTTCCGACACAAATACCCATGCCGTTGGCACCCAAATCTCCCAGACCTAGAATACGTTCACCGTCGGTGACACAAACGGCGCGAACATCCGACTCTGGCCTAGATATATGTAAGTAATGATTATGAATTTAATCACAACACTAATATCCAAATATGTATGTATGTATGTATTATTATTTCCTCTCTTACCAATTTTTGATGACATCAAAAACGTAGCCACGATCGTTAAAGGAGATGAAAAGACCACGTGGTCGGCGATAAATCAAACCGAAACGTTGACACGCCAAACCCACGGTCGGTGTGTAAACAATGGGCATGAGATGTTCAATATTCTCCGCCAGGAAACGATAGAACAGTCGCTCGTTACGGTCTTGCAAGTCGACCAGGTACAGATATTTATTCAGTGGCTCTGAATAACGACTGACGGCGATTTTACACAGCTCCAGCTGTTCCTCTTGTGTCTTGAAACGGGCAGGTTGCAGGCCATGTATACCCAAGACTTGACGTTCTTCCAGTGTGAAGGCGAGACCCTATTAAAATAAATTGTGTTTTATTTATTAGCAACGATATCCAGTTAACCATCACTATGCATAGAAGTTAATGAAAATATATAGATTGTCACTATAGCGATCTGCGTGATGATCTTTTTATACCGCTCTCTATGCACGACCCCAAAAAGACTTCAATAGTATGACTTTGAAAGGTTCGAAACAATGTTCTCTTAAGAAGTAGCCTTCTACACAACACGTAACGGAATTTATGTCAGCTTTTCCCTATCTTGGGTTTGGTTTATCTTGTTAACTCGACAATTACCTCATCTTCGGGCTCTTTTATAATGACTTATGGTGATCTTCATAGACAGACTATCCCGAAATTTTCACATTTTTTGTTTGGTGGCAAGTTATCACAAATAATGATGCTTTTATCTGCCCTAATTTAGACTATTCACAAAGGGCAGAGAATCTAAGCTTCCAGCCTAATCTAGTCCACCAACACTTAAGATTTATTTATAGACTTTTTATAGTGCGGCAAAACTTTGCATTTTACAATATCTTTGATAAGAATTGATCACGGTATCCTTTTTGTTTTTTGACTCTACAAACGCTTGTAGAGAGGCCAGAACAATTATCCAATTGCATATCTGCATTATAAAGTTCTGACAGTTGGCATGAAGGAGGCTTTTCTACAGTAAGTTCTTCCATCAATCTTTGTACCTGTATGCCTTTACCAGTGCCAGTCTTTAAGAAGGACCTCGCCATTTTACACAGTTTCGTCAACAGGACCTCGAATGCAATGCTAAAAAGCCTTATCCTGAGATGATTGGTCATACCAGTTCTTTGCAATCGATTTTGAGGAGTTCAACCGGTATCCCGTCAGTTGCTGAAGTTTTTTTGTTTCTAAGCCGCACTAATATTTTTCTTCCTCCGGTCTAGTCCATTGAAGGGACGTGTGCTTCACATCCCCATAGATTGGTCTGGTACCACTTCTCCACACGCGCCCTTTTCGTCCCCTTTAAATAGCGTCTAAAATTGTTCCCTTTATATTTGAAGTGTATTGTGGACATGTTTACCTGATCTTGCTGCCTTATTAGCAGGGTTTAGAGTGGAAAAATCGCGGTTGCTCAAGCCGACAACAACAAGGTAGTAATCGGAGTGATATAGTCGCAAAGTATCCTTCTTATATTAAAATGTGATCAATTTTTAATCGACTTCCAAATCTGAAAGTCTCTAGTCTTAGGTAATCAGGGGTATTGTGTTGATATTCATTGGTCCCGCGTTCAACAAGGTCTTATGCATAGTCATCGAAACGATTAAGATTCGGATAGTTGGGTGTCCATAGCTTTGAAGGTATGGGGTCCAAATGGCCGTTCACTACGTATATTAACTATGTTCGACACTGAAAACTTTGTTCGATATATGCCGAACGTCTAAAGGATATGAACATAGCCCTATATCACTCTGCCAGACTTTTCCAGTTCTCAGCGAGCTTTGCACACCAGATTTTAAATACATTCGAATTCATAAATAACTTATGTAAATGCCGCTTAATGCTTGATTGGAAATTGGCGCTAAGAAAAGAGTAAAATAGTTTTTTCAGTCTTTTTAAATTTTTCCATGCTAGCGATTCAAAGTTTTTGAACAGAAGAAGGAATTGTCAAAGGAATTAGTTCTTGAAATCAAAACAGTTTGATGCATACGTCAGAAGTTGCATCTTCTTGTTACCACCCACTGTTAGTATAATTTCGGGAAGGAGCATGCCCCTGTCGGATCTGCACGCCCCACTCCCCTACATCACCTTGCGGGTTCACATACTTTTTTGGCGTTCGCGTCTACGCCTGGCCTGGTAGCTGTTACGGAGTTGCTTTATCACTTCGGAAGCCATGTGCTGTACCTCGTTCTATGCGTAGTTGCTCTTCAGCATCAGTGCCACCATATTTTATAGCGTGACGCTACAGCCAAGGCTATATTCTACATGGTTAAATAGCTTTCTGAAGCGGGGACATATGAAAAGCACATGTTTCGATTGATATGTCGGCCGCAGAACCAATGAATGCTCTTATGTACTTTGAGCCGCAAAATGCCGTAACACATAATGTTCCACAAAAGCGGTCTAGCACGGATCCTTGTGGTACACCAGCTGAGACTTCGTAGTTGGCGGCTCCAATGTCGCCGTCTTAGCACACTATCGGACATATAGCTAAAGATGATGACTTGCAGATAGCAAGGCACTCGCAGCAAGTAAAGATCGTGGCGTTTTTCTTTACAGCTGGCACTATTGAACGCATACTAAACATCTAACGTGAACACTAGGCAGTATCCTTTAATACCACCTTACCATCGCTGGCCATCAATCGCCTTCTCGGCCATTGCTTTTACGACCTCGATCGCTTCGGTGGTTGATCGCTTTTTCCTAAAGCCGAACTGGTTGCTTGACAGCCGTCTATCTAAGTACATATGTATGTTTCCAGCCGGTTTTGATGACAAGCTCAAACAGTTGGTCGGTTGAATTCAGCATGCACAATGGGCGATATTAAGTGGGAGAACAAGCATTTGGATTCTTCAGTATAAGTACTGATTTTTATAGCTTCCATCTGTTTGAAAAGATGCCTTCTTGCAGGTACACATTAAAAAGGCTCGCGGTAATGCACGAATTTTTTGACACAACTTTCTTCAGCGTGATATTTGCGATGCCAACTGCTCCGTGTATGGAAAGATGTTTGCTATTATTTGTAAGTTCCAGAAGATCCTAGGTTCTCTTGCCGTCGAACGCAATAAAAAGTTTCGTTGTTTTTGTTATCTTTTTTCCGTACTATTAGAAGGCTTCGGTGAAGTGCAAAACGAAAGCGTATTCAAAGAAAAAATTTCCAAATAAATACATATGTATTTGTTTAAAGTAAACAGAATAGCGCTTGGCCCCAAATGATGTGTGTTTGATATTTTTTCTGTGTACAAATTCAATCGACAAGAAGTAGAACGTTTTTAAACAAACGCTTTCCGAAAAGATTTTTTTCAACACCATCCCCTTTGAAGGTGATTTTCAAATAAATAGATTTGCCGTGCGAAGCTGATTATAGATAAGAGCGGCTACTCTGTAATGCGATACGAAAGGCAAATGCGCCGTAAGTAATATGCTGTGACAATTGCCTATCGCATCACATTTCTCTTTCGCTTTGCATTACAGAGTAGCCCCCAAGGTGTGTTTCCATTTATAATGCGTCACTTTAATTTCGACTAAATTTTCCCCTTCTAGGGAAGTTAAATCATAAAGCCTTGAAAATCTGGCAATTAAATACAGAAAAAAAAACAGTGAAAAATCGCGCACGGCCCGGCCTATCCCTTTGAAAGAACAAAAAGATTTTATCGACTGGATAAGCATAGTTAGAATACATACATACATATGTATAAGTATGTAACAATTGATAATAGCATTGTACGCACCTTATTTAAACGGGGATCTCTCAGATGATCAATACCACGCACGCCAGAGGGACATAGGACATCACCGACGACATCGTGAAACTGTCTAGTATCGGTTGAAGTTATTTGCTGTGCCACAGGCGCCGTTGCGGCAGCTGCAGGGCGCGTGGCGGCACATATTTTCGACAGGTTGCCATGCAAGCTGTGAATTGAATAAAAACAAAAAACAAAAATATAGCAAATAAAGATAATTAACTAGTCACTATGGGGTACTAATAAAAGCAAATGCAAATATATATTTTGATTAGCGCAATTTTTTTTTTGTTTTGTTTATCGACAGCACCTTTTTCGCAATTGCACAATAGTTCCTAACAAATGCTCGGACGGTTTCATGGTTAATGAATGAAAATGTTATGATACAAAACTTAATAAAATGCTTACATTTATAATTGCGAAAAATTTCCGCGATATCAGCTAAGCTAAGCCCTGAACGCACGCCCTGATAAATACATATACATATGTATGTACATATATTCTATTATGAATACGATGTCTAATCCTGATGAATTTAATTGTTTTACGATTTCAAAGCTAATGTTGCCCCTGCTTTTGGTGCTGCTTTAGATGTGCGTTCATTTACCTAGACACGAATATACAAATGTGTATACAGGGTCTACCGATAGGAAACTTGAGTTTGCATAGTAAATACATGAGTGTAAAAAAGTAGAAAAACGCAAGAACAATTCTAACCATTTCAATCAAGACCAAGAGCTCCTGACCAAAAAACCCATCATACTTCAGATCGATTGAAATTTTTTGTGAGCTTAGCTTGTTAATAGTATATAAATCGAGATCCGGAGGGTTGTCTGTTAAACGGCGGTCTTGATAATGCGTTTTTAGCTATTAAAGATGCCCATTCTTATGGTCTTAAAGTACTGCCAAACCATGTTGAAAGTACAATAAAACCCGTTTACCTCGATGCGGGTACTTAAGCGAACATAATTATTGATGTAGTTACATCTTCCTGTTAACTTACATAAATACGTAAATACTTACTTGAATAACACATGAACATTTAATGAAGTATACATAGTTTAAACCAATATCGTAGCATTATTTAAACACATAGTCAGCAAATAAAGAAAAACTTTATTTAAACGACCGGCTAAAAATTACCGTTAATTTTTTAGAATTTTTTTACCGAAGATGTGTGCCACTGAATTTCAAAATATGTCAAGATTTTAAGGAATCTTAAAGGACCACTTAACAGGGGAAAATTATAAGTAAAATGGTAAATGGGGCAGGAAAAATTTAGGTACTTAGGCGGGGGGATACTTAAGCGGATTTCACTGTACAAGTTGCGTTCCCTAAATCGCAAGAAGTTACCAGAATTTACCAGAAAGTATTCCCGTACTTGGTTCTCTGGCAAAGTTGGGGAAAAACTAGAGAGTAAAATCGGCTCTCTCTTTGTTAGAAGTAGCAAGATTTTACTCGAATAATTATTAGTTGCGATCCCGTACGAGTCCGGACTAGTCAGAATCAGTCAGATTTTACTGGAAATCGATCCCGTACTCGGTTCTCTGACTATTTAGAGGACAAACAAGAGAGTAAATACGGTTCTCTCTCTCTCAGAAGTTACCAGTTTTAGTCCGAGAATTTTTTGCTGGTAAATTCTGGTAAATGCGTCAAACGATCAGCTGTAGTGTGTTTGGCAACCAAATTGTAAACAAAAGAAAAGTGTACTCTGCTAATTCATGTTGAAAAGTATTTAATTACTTGTTTAAGTGGATTCTAATGAATTTGANCCAAATGATAACAAAAACTATGTAAACAAAAAATAGCGTCCACGGTGTAGTCGACAGTTTTATCCGTTTTTACCCGAAAGGCTTTCCCGTACTTTTTGGTTTTTCTCTCCAACTCTGAGAGCAATTTTCAATTCGTTGTTAGTAAATTATAGTCGCAAATCAATAAAATTCTCATTCATATAAGGAGTGACCAATCAAAAGTTGATATTTACACTGTATATTACTTTAAAGGAGGAGAAAAAAACAAACAAAATACAAAAAATGGAAATGTGGTGGACTTCAAAATTTGTGGTTTCAAAAGATATATTGATTTATTTATATATTGTTTAGTATTTCCATTAAAACACCAAATATATTGCAAATTTGCATAGAATAAATAATACACATTTTACTTCTAATTGTATACTTTGCGTACTTTTTGTAGTACCTTTCTACGACCGTTTTCGCAAAAGGCGATCACATTCTTCCCCTTTCTCCTACTTCCAAAATACAAATCTGGATAAAGGAGTGTCAAATTTTAGCTGTCACAAATTACACAACCTTGTATTATTGAATCATGGGGTAAAACTAAAAATTTACCGGAAGTCAACTTTTGGAAAAAATGCGGTACATTCAACGGAACACGATTCCTTAATAAAGTAATTATAAGAAACTAAGCCAAAACATGTCATCGCAAAAATCGTATTTTTTGCAGAGGAATAAATGCACTCCGAATTACCATTGAATGGATGATTGCAAATACAACAAGTAAAAAAGTAAAAATTAAATAACCGCGCGCACGTATTAAATATAGTTTTTTCAGTCCGATTAAAAAAATTTTCAACGTCTTGATTTTATGTGGCAAGTGCAATAATTATACCAAGGGATGTTGCGATATACGTAAATACGAGTATGTACTCGATACTTTTGTTTCAATACCAACTACTTTTTTTACTCGAATCGTCGATACTTACTTAGTATCGAAATAAAAGTACTTGTATCGAATCGATTTGAGTAAGTGCCATATCTTGTCGGCTATATTTTTCTATGGAAAATAATTGCTTCGTTTTTGTGAAAAATAATTGCTTTAAGCAATGGCACCGCCAAAATATCTAAAGTGAGGATATATTCTTACAAAGTTAGTGAGTACAGAGTTTTAGTCTTTTGTCTAAGTAGCCATATTACTGCTAATGATCAACTAAACATATCGATACCTCAACTGAAAATATATTGAAAATATTTGACATAGGACGTTTTGAATCGGCAGCTGAAAAGTTTTCTGATACTTGAAAAGTTTTCTGATACTTATAAGGGGGTTTTTAATCTAATTCTGAAATAGGATGCTTTTGAAAAGTTTTCTGAGATGGGTTGTTTTCAAACTGGCTGCCGAGATACATAGGTCGATCTTCCACTCAGGTGTCGCAAAAGGTATGTCACAGATAACGCCTGAAAATTACTTTCGCTTTGTTGCATATAAAAGGATGAAAAGTTATCGATATAAGTAGTTATCGATTTGAGTTAACTCGTTTGAGTAGGTATCGATATTTTGATGGTATCGGAACGTCCGTAATTATACCGAGTTTGGTACAAATTGATTGAGCGGTTACCGAGATATGGTTATCCAAAAAAATTTTATTAACGTAGTTTTTGCTAATAACTTATTGCATACAGTTTTATAAATTCGCATAAGTATTTACTAGGGATGTTTATCGCCAATGAAAATTCGGTATATCGGTATCGCGATATTCTAAATTCACAATATCCGATACCGATATATTTACTAAAATAATATCGATATATTAAATATCGGAAATGTCGAAAACGAAATGGTTAATATCTCTGGTTTATCTTGGTTAGCTAATATTATTTTTATGCAAGAACTATTTTGCCTTTGCTATAGATTTTCTTGAATGAATAAATTTACGAGCATTTATTTCTTGACAATTGAAAACTTATTTAAGAAATTATAATATTTTTATGAATTTTCGTTCTTCATAGTTACTATGCCAAGAGCTGTTTTGCGAGAACGAACACAATTTTATTTACAGTTCAGAAGCCTAAAGAACGTAGAGAAAAGTTTCCGATATGTGAAATATCGAAACAAAATACTGTATCGATATTGTATCACTACACCTGATATCGATATAAATTAACCGATATGATGATATTAGATATATTGAATATCGTATCGGTATCGCGCATCCCTACTAGTTACTGATTTATTGAAGATTTCGTCTTTCTCGAAATTATCGTTATATGGGATGTGGGCGTGGTTATTGTCCGATTTTTAAATTTTTCCGACAGCCACGGCTTAATCGATTTCTCTTTTCATTCTGAGCATTTTGGTATACATATTTTAAGCTGTTGCCAACAACTGTTATGTGAACAATGTTTGACACCCTTCTGCACAAGTGCACTCGACTATAAAAATGAAATGGGTTTTGCCTTAGTTACAATGGTTTAAAGATTTTGAAAAGATTCGAATTTTTTCCACAAATGCCGGTTTCAGGACAAACCACGAACTCTACAGGAAACCTAGTGTGACCCGAAAATTCCGACTTAAGATTCGGATTAAGCGGACCCAAAAGCTTTAGAAACCGCTGAGAAAGCCAGTGGGTTTTTTGAAAACTTCAATTTTGTTGTAGTGTGTTATTATTGCATAGTAAAATTTTTTCCGGTTTATAGCGTTAAAAACATGCCGCTGGTATTGGAAAACGGTTGCCAATATTCTTACATGAATTGAAACGAAACCCCTTAAATATGTCGTATATTAAGTTCAATTGAATAAAACATACATTTTTTTATAGAAGCTAACTATACTAAAAACTAACCTTTGGTGTACATATGTCGATAGTTCTCTGCAACAACGACACAATTCAAATTTCAAAAAATTAAGTCCCTTACTACTGTTAAGGGCCTCCTCTCTCTTATCCTTGCCTAATCCATGTCTAATCCTTACAAAAATAAGCAGTAAGGATAACTGTAATTACTAAGGATCAGACATGAATTAGACAATGATTAGAGACATGAGCCTCCCAACAGTAGTAATAGTTATTTTTTGAATTTTGAATTGTGTCGTTATTGCAGACGACTATCGGTGTACATATGTACTGTAACACCCTTTATCACAGCAATCGCACTTATATAAACTGCTGAATTCGTCGTGAGTAGTCAATCAAAATCACAAGGCAAAGCTTCTTATCAAAGCATAAATAACACCTACTGCGTTTATCTTTTATTTTGAAATGTACCTAAATGACGAAATCAGCTGATAAGAATGGACAAGCTTTAAAAGCGAACCCGCGAATGTTAAGCACTGCGTATACGTAATTAATTTTGAGGGCATGAATTTATCCAAATTAGAGTGCCCCTCCAAAAAAAATAATTACTGCTTTCTACCGCGTGGGGTTAAACACAGTTTTATTCATACGCTGAACTGTGTGGAAAGCTTTTCTTTAACCTATTATCGACTTCGAAACAGCATTCAAAATACGAGTACATTTAAAATCAGTATTTCCACCAAAAACTTTATGTTAGTGTGCGTATTTCCCAAAAGCTGGCAAAATAACATTTTTCATTGACTCTTTCCACATGGCTAACTTGCTCAAA